GGGAAGAGATAGTTGTCCATTTTAAGATTGTATGTGAGACTGTTACATCATTGTATGTGAGACTCTTAGAGGGCTTTTCTTTGAATGTGTACTCTGTACTCTACAACCACCTAGTGGTAATACTGTATCAGCACTGTGTCGATGTTTGTTTTCTCTCTATAGAAAAAAATCCATACTGTTCTACTTCAATATCCTGAAATGTGCCAACCCTGCTGTCCTCATCAACCTACAGTGCCCCACCACTCAGGTATTCATAACATATTGGTCAGTAACAATATTGACTCATAGAGTACATAGGTACAGTTACTGTTAAAGGCCCAGTGCAGTCAACATATTTTTTTCCTGTTTTATATCATATTGTAATAATATAATAATATGCCATTTAGCAGACGCTTTTATCCAAAGCGACTTACAGTCATGCGTGCATACATTTTTTGTGTTTGGGTGGTCCCGGGGATCGAACCCACTACCTTGGCGTTACAAGCGCCGTGCTCTACCAGCTGAGCTACAGAGGACCGAACTACAGCTGATGAAACTAACACTGTAAAAGTGTGAGAAAAAATATCTGTGTTATTTCCAGATAGTGGCTGGTTGAAAATACAATCTACACAGGACCTTCTAATCAGCAGGTTTGCATGGGTGGGAGTTTCGGCTTTCCATGGTGACATCACCATGAGATAAATTGGTTAATAGACCAATAACAAAGAGAGTTCCAAACCTCTCTGCCAATAACAGCTAGTTTTCAGTTTCATACCACTCCCAGACAGTCCTAGCAAAATCCTTGATTGAGAAATAGTTTTTTGCTAAAAAAGCAATTTTTGTCAATTTTATGGAAATCTATTACAGTAAGGTACTTAATTGTTACTCAGAAGTTATTTGATATTGATATAAAAACGGTTGCATTGGGCCTTTAAAAAAGGGTGTCATATCAGCTTACTGAGTATTCATTAGTGTGTTCAATACTTCCTCAGATGTGTGTTTCCAAGTGCCCGGACAGATTTGCAACCTACACAGATATGCAGTTGCAATACCAAATCACTGCAGCCCCCTGGGAATATTACAGGCAGTTCTGCAAACCAGGATTCAACAACCCAACAAAGGTATGCATGTAGGTTTAGCACAGTTTGGAAGTGTGTACTGTTAGGATGTGAACTGTTTTTCCATTCAACAATGTCACATCTTCATTGTGCGTAACAACGACTAGTTGGCTAAAGCAGGAACAGCCTTACACCCAGGCTACTGAACTGTGCTGCATTGTGTGAAAGATTATGAATTAAAGACCGTTTTTTTATCAGGAGACAGGAGTTTTAACACTGTTTTTGTCATTTTCTGTTCAGAGTGTAACGACAATTAGTATTACATGACTGACGTTCCTCCTCTTTTTGCTTTAAGCCTGTTGCACAAGTGTTACGAGACGAGGACTGTCCATCAGTGATTGTGCCTAGCAGACCATGTAAGTACAGCAAGAAATGACAGCAGCTGACGGCCAATAAGGAAGAAGTTGTGATACTGAATTATCTTGTCTACTAGTCCTACAGCGCTGTTTTCCTGACTTCATCACTCTGAATGGAACCCTGACGGTGGCCAAAAGAACCCACTTCAAAGATGCCCTGGACACAGCCCGCAGTGTGACTGAACTAAGAGACGCCGCCAAGTGAGTTATAAAGACACACACTCACACACATGCATGTGGATGTGTGTTTACATGCATGCGCGCACGTACAGTACACACACACACAAATGCGCACGCACACAAACATTTCTGTAATTATGGCAGTTTTATAATGGGTATTGTCTCCTACAGTGGCATCACAGGTCTGGTGGATGCTAAGGAGGTTGGGATGAAGATTGTGGAGGACTACGCCACCTCATGGAACTGGATCTTAATGTAAGAACTCTAACTGGCAGAGATACACTGGGTTGAGTTATTATACAATGAATTGTACTGTACGGTACTTTATTGTACTTTTACGGTACTGTAAAATACTATATTTAGAGATTTTACTGTGTGTTATATTTCCAGAGGTCTGGTGATAGCTCTGGTGGTCAGTCTGATCTTCATCTTGCTGCTACGTTTCACTGCCGGACTCCTCCTCTGGTTCACCATCATCGCCGTCATACTGGTGATTGCTTACGGTCAGTCTGTGTGTGTCAAAGCTATTCTAGTTTTGTGTTTTTAATATTCGTTTTTATTTCTATTAATTTTCAGACTTTTATTTGAAATTTAGTGTAGTTTCAGTTAGTTTTCCGATCCACTTTACTCGTTTTTATTTAGTTGAAGTTTTAGTTGTAGTGTGTTTTTGGGGATGTCACTTCTTGCCAGTGTGGGACAGTAATACATAAGGTGATGAGTCAGGTCATAGGTTAGGTTTAAAGGTAGACTCAGCTGGATGACATAGATGTACAAAGTAAACAGCAGTAGTGGGTCAATTTCCGCAACAACCAGGAGCGGTGAAGCGCAAGGCTAAACTTCTCTGCTGTTGTGGTCCGGTAGTTACCACGTTGAAGCAGTGTGACGCACACCCGTGCACATACGCATATATTCTGTGGGACTGTGTGAGAGCAAAGTCTTGCATCATGCTCATCTAAATCGCCGCGTTCGAGCGGATCATTTTTGTCAAGTCAGTTAACATTGTTGGTCACCGCCTTTCAATGTGTGTTACATTCTGGAGATAAAAATGGTCTGACTTGTGCCCACATGTCAAGTGCATGAACTTTACAAAAATCATGTGATCAAAGGTCATTAAGTTTTGACCTCAGTTGACCGCAAGTTTCTGCAGTTGGAGGCTCTATTGTCAACCAATCATTAGTGTTTTTATTTGACCCACACGAATGTGACCAAATGCACGACTGAAACAATAATGAATTTTCCGCAATTTATGTGCACAGTGGATATATACAAATACATTTGATATGTGAGGCTCTATCTCACTAAGTGATTGTACAATGTACACACATAATACTATATTATGATTTCAGTTTGTGAGTGTGTGATATAGGGGTTAGATAAATATTTATTTCGACATTATAAAGAAAACCTTTTATAAACAATGGCAACACTGCCATGTTGATCTGAGCCTTGCTGTTGAAAAAACACATCAATATTAGACTTTCAGCTGTCGCAGATGCACCTCCCCTGACTTCACGCCGCCACTTTTGTCTACAGTTGTTTGCTTTAGCCTTACCACTCAAACGAGCCCAATATCTGCGGTGCTGCTGTGGCAACGTCATCTTGCTGAGTCTACCTTTTAAAATATAAATTAATCTCAATGTGACCCGCCAGATTCAGAAGCTTGAAAACCCCATTAGAAGAAAAAAGCTTGAAAACCCTATTGGAAAACCTGCTAAAACTGAACATAATTCATGATGCTTTTTATTAAATGTTTGTTCGTTTTGGGGTCAAAGTTAATAGTTTCAGTATAGTTTTAGTTTTCAAATGGGTTTGTTCATTATTTATTTTATTTACAAAAATAAATGTCATGATTAGTTTTCATTTTAGTTTTAGTTTACTATAATAACCTGTGTGTGTGTAACTGTACATACAGGTGTGCGTGCATGGCCGTGTACCAGTGTGTTACCAGTATGTGTCTGGTTTCACCTCTCTAACATCTGCTTCCTGTGTCTCTGTAGGGATATGGCACTGTTACCTGGAGTTCTCCCTCTTGAGGCAGCAGCCCGGGGCAGATGTGACCATCGTAGACATCGGCTTCCAGACAGACGTCACGGTTTACCTGCATCTCAGCCAGACATGGCTCATCTTCTGTGAGTCATCACCTCTCTCATGACTATCTCGCTGTCTCTTTCTGTCTTTCTCCCTCTCTCTCTCTCTCTCTCTCTCTCTCTCTCTCTCTCTCTCTCTCCCTCCCTCTCACTCATGACAATCTCTCTCTCTCTCTCTCTCAGCTTTCTTAGGGAAAAAGCCTCTTTCAAACCATTTAGCCTGATTACCAGTTCCTGTAAAAGTTGAAAATTAGTAAAAAGGTTTTCTGTCTTTCATTTACTTAACACATTACAAATGGAGAGGATAATTGGGGTTAGGTTTGATGTTACTATGGATTGATGTTACTATGATTTGATGTTGCTATGGGTTGAGGTTACTATGGGTTGATGTTACTATGGATTGATGTTACTATGGATTGATGTTACTATGGGTTGATGTTACTATGAGTAGATGTTACTATGAGTAGATGTTACTATGGTTTGATGTTACTATGGATTGATGTTACTATGGATTGATGTTACTATGGGTTGATGTTACTATGAGTTGATGTTACTATGAGTTGATGTTACTATGGTTTGATGTTACTATGAGTTGATGTTACTATGGTTTGATGTTACTATGGGTTGGTGTTACTATGGTTTTGCTCAGACTCTCTCTAACCTTCTGCTGTGTTTTTCCCCCTCTCTCTCTGTTAGTGATATCTCTGGGTACCATAGAGGCCTCCATCTTGATCATTCTGATCTTTCTGAGGAAGAGATTACGGGTCGCTATCGCTCTACTGAGAGAGGGAAGCAAGTAAGTCGACTAATAGTAACAGTTTCTCTCGCAGTAACTGTTTGTGTTCTCTTGCTGTCTTTCTTCATGACTGTTGTTTGAGAATAGTTTATTTTCAATGTTCTTCTTGTGCCTCTGTCTCTAGGGCCATCAGCTACATCATGTCAACACTCTTCTACCCAATCATCACCTTCCTGCTGCTGGCCATCTGCATCTCCTACTTTGCTGTCACCTCTGTGTATCCTCTTACTGGTGCGGTGTTCCTCCACTAGAGGACGCTGTTGATGCAGTACTTTGTTCAGCGTGTTGTTCATGATTCCAACCTAAATCCCAGATTCTATAAAGGATATTGTATTGAATGACTTATGGAATACAGAAACAGAGACACAGAAATGGATCTAAGAAAGTTCTGTTGTGTATTGTTGTACAACCGCAACATGTTTGATGCTTAATCAGCGTTACACACAGATTCCTGGCCTCCTCTGGAGATGCCATCTATAAAGTAATGGCTGCTGAGCCCAACTGCATGTACGGAAACAAGACATGCGATCCTGAGGTGAGGCACCTTTTTTTCAACTCAATCTAAGTATCCTGCAGACGCACACAGAAACTCTGGTATTGAGTACCCCCGATTTGTATAAATAGTTATTGTGTATTTTCACAATTTCCCTCCCAGACTTTCAACAAGACCAACGTGTCCAAGACGTGTCCGGGCGCCCAGTGTACATTTGCGTTCTACGGCGGGGAGACGCCCTACCACCGCTACCTTTTCATCCTCCAGCTGTCCAACCTGCTCATCTTCCTGTGGCTGGTCAACTTCACCATCGCCCTGGGCCAGTGCACCCTGGCTGGGGCCTTCGCCTCCTACTACTGGGCCCGGAGGAAGCCCCAGGACATCCCCACCTGCCCCCTGTTTTCTTCATTTAGCAGGGCAATACGGTAAGGAGCCTTCCATACCATTCTGCCAGTACAGAAGATTAGTGATCTAACTGGAAGAGTTAGTTTCACAATGGCTCAGGGATTGTTTGAGCCAGAATTTGGGGTGTTTGGGAGGTTATGATTTCTTCATGATAGACTGACTAAAGGTGTGTGTGTGTGTGTGTGTGTGTGTGTGTGTGTGTGTGTGTGTGTGTGTGGCTGGGTTACAGGTATCACACGGGCTCACTGGCGTTTGGTGCTCTAATTCTGGCCCTTGTTCAGATGGCACGAATTATCCTGGAGTATCTAGATTCAAAACTCAAAGGTGAGTTTGGCTTTAGTACAGCACAGTAATACATCATCTAGTCATGGATTTGACTCTGTGGAGTAACTCATCACTAATGGTCGGTGGTCTGTGTTCAGGTGTCAATAACGTGGTAGCACGCTTCCTGCTCTGCTGCCTCAAATGCTGTTTCTGGTGTCTAGAGCGCTTCATCAAATTCATGAACAGAAATGCTTACATTATGGTGAGTAGTGTGATATGTGTGTGTCCATATGTATTGATATTATTACACAGCTTTTATCAATGTGAATCGCTGATTATGTATCAACTGAATCAAGGGTAGATTAGTTACTGTGTGTGCTATAACTCAATATGGTCCCATGGTCTGTGTGTTCCCTCTAGATTGCGATATATGGGAAGTGCTTCTGCACGTCAGCTCGAGACGCCTTCTGCCTATTGATGAGAAATGTAGTAAGGTAAGGCCGTCTGAAGCCAGGGGCTAGATTATTAGGCTACCCAGTGTTGGCTGGCACCTCACTGGGCTAACCTTACTGGGTTCACCCCTCTCTCCTGCAGGGTGGCGGTGCTGGACAGAGTGACAGACTTCCTACTGTTCCTGGGGAAAGTGCTAATAGCAGGGAGTGTAGGTGAGTCATTGCAAAAAAACATATTTTCTTCTTGTGACTTCTTAACCCTTTTAGGATAATAGTTGATATTTTATTTGACTGCAATCAGTCAAAAGTCACGTTTTAAAGTCTAAATAAATGATGAAGCATATTGGTGGGTATTTCAACAAGCTCTCTGTCTCACATCAGAATTAGATGTTCATCCATGTTTCTCAAACTTCAAATTTCGAAGTTGTTCCAAACATTGAATTTCAAGTGTTTAAGGTTAAGTTTAGGCATTAACTCCAAATTCTTAAGGTTAGGCATTAACTCAGAATGGTTAAGTTAATGGTTAAGGTTTGGGATAGGCAAAAAATTATAATAATCCCCCCAAAACTTTTTATCGCTGGATTCAAACGTACATCTTGTAATTAAAGGCAGATGCTTACCGAAACCTACTTGAAGATAACAGCGCTCACTGTTTCCCCTAGTGGCCGGTTTCCATATAATCTCCCGACGTCCTCAGACTAGGATGGACATCAAATACTAACTTGTATCACGGGTGACCTGGCTGGGGTATTTACAATGTTGTGTTTTTTGTGTGTTGCAGGCGTCATAGCCTTCTTTTTCTTCACACACAAAATACCAATTGTTCAGGAAGATGTGCCGACCTTGCATTACTACTGGGTACCTCTACTGGTAAGATACAAAAATAGAAAGTGTATAGAAATGGGTATATCCTACATTCATCTGTGTATTGATGGTGTATTATCATTGGCAGACGGTGATATTTGGGTCCTATTTGATCGCTCATGGATTCTTCAGCGTCTATGCAATGTGTGTGGACACGCTGTTTCTGTGTTTCTGTAAGTAAAGCCTACGTATTATTCTTCATAGACATGCTTCCAAAACACATCTGAAGGAATACACCTGCTCTCATCCTGGGCTCTGGCATCTTTGATTGGCTATTCAGTCGATCCCAATATCAATGCTTTGACCTTTAAAAAAAAAAAAAAATTTACAACTGTAAAAACCACCATGGCTGTTCACTTGCTTTGCTTCACGTTCTATCTGAGCACCTCTAATCCCTCTCGCTCATCTCCTTTCCACCTCTCCCTTCCTCCTGTATCCCTTTCTCCACTCCTCCCATACACCCTTCCAGGTGAGGACTTGGAGAGGAACGATGGGAGCCCTGAGAAACCCTTCCTCATGTCTGCTGAGCTGCACAGTATTCTGAGAAAAACTGAGCACCACTGAGGGACACAATACAACCCTCTCATACAAACTAATAGCTTTACTCTTCCAAGATATTTAGCATGCTTTAAACTGAACAGAGCTCAACTCTGGCTACCTACACTATGCTGTCTATCAGCTAACAAGGAGATATCAGTCTCTAATGGACAATGAGACCACTGACTGTGACTTTTGCAACTCAAACGTCTAAAGTCTTCAGAACTAACAGTGACTGTGGTTTTGAGAGACTCACACGAACTCTTACATCGACTATGACGTGTGATCATTAGAATAACTGGTTAGACTTAGAGAATCGAACAATGAGACTAATGGTGTGACCATTAGACTTGTGACGACTTTGCTACTGCCTTACCTCAAGACTAGGAACTGACAAGCAGGAACTCTTTTGGAACAAGTTCAGGTGGTCAGACTTCACTGTGACTTGTGCTGATAAGAAACAAACTTGTAACTCTCTGGTCCAGAGAGAGAGCAAAACACTTCTGGTTTGCTCCAAACAGATCAGAGGCTATGCATATCCAACCTGCAGTACACTGCTATCGTCCCTATCCTCTTTATTAGTCCTCAGCAGCTGTACTGTAACTACAGTTTACATGGACGATGGCCCTTACTGCAAAAACAATCACGTTATGAACTTCCATATTTAGAACTAAAGGAACATTTTGGGTGCAGCAGACTGATAGAACCCTAAATTGTAGTCAGACCAATACTTGTTCTGCAGACTGTCTTTAAGCTAATGCTTAAACCGGTTGATTTATGCTACTCAAAATCAATATTGGGTACTAATGGAGTTCCAAATATTCAGCCACTAAAGGTTAAGTAACAATCATGATAAAATTATGCCCTATATCACTCTATTGCAGAAAACTCTACGGTCAAAACCTGCAACTGGGATGACCTTTACACCCACACATGGGCTCATGTACAGCACGGGTAGCCTACGTTATGTATGTGATACTATACATGTATGGGCGGACTAGCTGTTTCAAATAAGGGCTCCTGTATATCTAATATGATCCTCTCCCGCTATATGAATATTGAATCCTACTGTATCGACTTTGTCAAAACCTGATGCTTTCACTTTAACTCAACCAGAGCCTGTGTACAGATTTGAAGGCATGTCATCTCATGGTCCTGATGGGATGTCCTTACAACTGAATGGAGTTACTTCATGGCAATGGACTGCTCTCCATAAGCCATACACATACTGTATGTTGTCTGATAGGAAAGCATGCAAGTGAAATAATCCCTGGCTGATGTTTGATTACAGTTGTCTGAAGTGATTTCATTTTACCTTGATCACCGTGGCTCTGGCAAATACTTGGGGAGACTATCAAATACAGAGGATGTGCACATGTGTCACTGCAATGAAGACCCATACAATTTTTTTAAAGGCAGTTCTGTTAGCTGAGCATAAGGTGTTATGACTACAGGTTCTAGTTAGCGTGCCTAGCTAGTGGATAATTGAGGTTTTTACTTTAGCCTAAATGTATTTTAGACTCCTGACAATGGAAGGATGTCAAAGCCATTTTGGTAGAATTTGTACTTCAGTGGTACAATTGAAAAAAGTGCTATGTTTTTAATGTCATTACTTGTACATGCTCTTTTCTACATTTTGGGATCAGTATTTAATGTGATTTTCTTTTGTAACATTTAGTCACTTCTATAAATAAAAAGCATTTGAATAGTTTCATGTGCTTTACAGCATTTGCTGTGCCACAATGCAATTACACCATAAAAGAAAAGTCTATTCTCCCTCAGTTTGAGTTCGTCTTTAACTCTTATTCCAGTGCTGGATCAAGAGTACAATGATGGTTCAGCAGCTCGACCCTACCACATGACCAGCACTCTGAGGAGGATGCTCCGCAGGCGGCGGACAAGACCGAAGAGGGAGTAGGAAGATTTAGATTCAGAAGAGGGACTAAAGGCAAGAGGATGGGTCTGAACGTTCTGACGGCATGCTCGCCCATGTGCCAGTGCCCAATCCAAATTGTCAACCAGCAACAGAGAAATGTGACATTTACGCATATGCCGCTTACAACAAAAATACTATTAATTCAGTTAAACTGAAGTGTGTCAAATGGCATTATGTTTGTCATGAACATCCAAACAAGACAGCATCTAGTGAAGTCCAGTCCCTCCCTGTCAGCAGTGATCATATGGCTTTTATTCAGATTTCTTCACAGCCATCAAAAACAGAGATCAGCTATATATCAACAAAACAGAAACTAAGAGATCAAATAATTTCATTACTTTAAACAAAGTGCTCAGTCACATGCGTCAAATAAATTATGAAATTTCATAGCCAATATAGATACTATATATTAACAAAAAGTTTACAGCCTTTTTTTTACATTAAATTCTGACCATTGTATCTCCTTCGATAAACCCTCAACATATAATCTAACATTCGCACCACATGCCCTTTGATGGACGATGAGTATCGCTCCGCAGCATTCTGACCCAATGGTAAGGCCCGGTTCTGCAGGGGGTGGAATGTAACGATCAGGCATGGCTGATTGGCAGCTGTGTCATGGAATGGGATAGAATAGGCTGGAACACCAGTGAGGATGGAGAGTGCACTGAAGAACACAAACATGCTATTGTTAGTCCAAAACCCATTATTGGTTATAGTAATATTGATACAGTGTTCATATTGTGATTTCAAATATTATTTTGACTTCAGATCTTTGCACTGAATTCTAAAGCAAATCCAATAAAATCTCACTATGATACACAAGACATGTAAAAATATGAACCTGTGATCTCCAAGTGCCGACTTTGCTCACCATCCATGTATGTGTGTAGTGCGGTAAGCATGGGCGTGTGCATGGGTGTGTCTGTTGGTATGTAAGCTGTGTACTGTAGATCATCCAGGAGAGGCGGAGAGAGCCTGGACTGCTGTAGTGATGACATTGCTGCAGAGGACATGTGGTGGTTGGGGCTCACGTGCTTCTTATGACGAGCTCGGCAGTTCTGGAACCAAACCTGGAGATGGAACAGGGATGGATTAAGCTTTGTAATTTCAGGGACACCTAATTATTTGACTAAACTAAAATGTTAGAGCGCTCACCTGAATGACCCTGCGACTGAGGCCAGTCCTCTCTGCCAGCTTCTGGAGGGTCTGAGCGTCTGGGTTGTTGTCCTGAGCAAACTGAGCCTGCATCACCTGACCGACAAGATACACACATTAATACTGTTCTTGGTGTGGTTTTGGCACTTTTACATTTTAGTCATTTAGCAGATGCTCTTATCCAGAGCGACTTACAGTTAGTGCATTCATCTTAAGATAGCTTGGTGGGACAAACATATCACAGGCATAGAAAGTACATTATTCCTCAATAACTTAGCTATCAGTAGAGTCTGGGGGGGGGGGGGGGGGGGGGGGGGGGGGTCAAGTGCAATTCCAAACATGCAGAAAAGTAAAAGTAAAAATAAACCATGATGTTCACCTGTAGCTGGTCTGCAGTGAAGCTAGTGCGAGCCCTCTTAGCTGGTTTGGGCTGGGACCCTTCCTGCTCTGATGGCAGGGCTCCCTCTACATTCACACCTTTTCCTGTAAGGACATGTAACCAGAGGTCATGACATTGTAAAGGAGAATGAGAAAAATGAATTTATAATAGGGGAAAGCTTGAATCTTAGTTATCAATGAATGTTTCACAAGAACAAGCTTCAATTAAATTGCTACATCATAAATGTGTAGAAAAAAGGTCTGTGTACAGTCAATATTGTACAATAAAACACCTTTACTCAAAATACAGGCCTTGTTCTTTCTATATACCCTTAAAAATGTTGCTTACCACTTTCCATGGCCCGTTTCAGGTTGTCCAACATGCAGTCGTAGTGGCTGCGGCACAGCACCCTCTCCTCCACCAGGGCAAACTCCTCCCCCGTGGAGAGCTGGCGCTTACAGGAGAAGCAGGCAAAGCAGGCCAGGTGGTAGGTGTTGCCCTTCGCCCTCCTTACCCAGTCGTTGGAGTGGATGTTCCTGCCGCAGCGGGCACAGCGAGTTCCATACTTCCTGTGAGAAAGTTGGATTGTATTTTTTAACATGACACTGATATGTTTGTAGACTACTAATTCAACACATTTGTATCAAAATAAATTCTAGCCTACTAATAACTTAACTGTGGGGAATGCAAATATTCTTTAACAACTTTTATAAACTTGTAAATGTTATGAGAAGTTATTTTTTTACATCAAAAACTATGTTCAAATTGAAGATTTAAACCTTGTCTCAAACATATGAAATGTAAATTGTAGGCTGAGGAAGTGCATGGCCTCATAGGGCCCAAGGTCATGTCAACCCCCAAAATGAAAAATATCTCACTTCATTCTATGAATCCATTTTTTTTTTTATGTAAACAGGCTTAAGATAGACAGTCTGAGGCCACATAATTACCTGAAGTAGTCGAGTTTGCAGAAAACCTCTTTCTCTTTGATGTAACAACTGACATGTCTTCCAAGAGGAGTTTGGCACACGCTGCACGAGAGGCACTTCACGTGCCAGCACAAGTTGTTCACCTGAAATGTAGCCATAGCATAGTTAGACTTCAAACATTTATTCAACCGAAAGAGTAGCTTAATCTACAGTTTTAGTACACGAAAATAAACATCTTTCGATGTTAGTGATAAATGTTCAATGTCAACACTTTCTTAACTGAAATGTGATTTTATTTAGGCTAACTTACCAAATAGGCCAATGTCAAACTTTCTCGGTTGAAAATGTCAATACTGTAGGCCTATTAGTTTACGGACGTGGGAAAACCATTTAACATAAACATTTTAGGCCTTGGTTGAATAGGCCTAATAAAGCCTGTCATAGGCTCGGCAACTTACCTTGAGCAGGTATTTGTCAACTATCTCCAAACCACAACTTCCACAAAGGCTTTTCCCCAAAGAGGCTGATGCCATCGTCTGCAGTGTAGAGGATGAAGACAAAGACGAAGACGGTGAATATGACTCGTCTTCAAAAATATCATCCGAGGTGCCCTGGATAGAAGAAATGTAATGGATTAAATTAAAGTCAACTAACATTTACAAAAACAACATTTCCATGTGTAAACTACGGACAAAAATTAATTTCATAAAATGTGGCCTAACTGAGTTTGGAGAAGGAAAGCGCGAAGTTGGCATAATTTCCAGTGAAGGTTTTACGCATAGTAAAATAGGTTACCTGTTTGATTCCTCCTTTTACTTGTACGCCTATACTCTGAGCGTCGGAAGATGCACCTCTACATCCCTCCTTAGGCATAGTGAGGGGTTAAAAGAAATTGCAGCAAAAAAAATACTGTGGATGGACTTTTCCCCACTTCTGCTAGCTATGACAACCACAACGACGAATAAGATGCCATCAAAGAATAAAAGTGTACAAAACAAATTGTACGATTCTTGAGAAAATGTTATAGCCTACTTCAAGCACTTTTCGCAACAGGACCCTTCGATGGTTCACATTACCAACTCATCCGTTTCTGCTGTCAAATTAGTTGTCTGCAGGAGGGCAATTCTAAAAGTGAAATTGAAGACAAATCTGACTGAACATAATAGGCTATATTAAACAACAAAAATAGCCGTAATGACCAAATCAAACTAAATGTTTGTTGACTTTCGGCAATTAGCGCCACTGCAGCACTCTTCAACGTGCGCGCAGCCCGCAGCTGCAGGGATTTAGTTTGATTAATAACGCAAACTCCCTCGGGTAATGAATGAACTGATTTGTGCCGAGAAAACGAATGGGTGGCTCATCAAATCTACTATAAAATTATTACATTTTCGTTAACTTGGAACCGAATCATAGCCTGTCGGTTTGGAGTAGCCACAATTCGGTCCAATTATAGGCCATTTAAACTAATGGCAATAACAACAAAAGAAATTCAACACGATAATTTTTGCCAACTTGGAACATAGGCTTACCGTGCTGTTGGAGATCGAGTTGAACCCATTTTCAATATCGTCCACTTTGGAGCAAGGCAACATTAGTTCATTTTTCCAATACATTACTTGTAGTCCTAGAACAAAACACAAATCAACCAGGAGAATAATCCGATATATTCCAGTGTCAGAGGCTGCTGCACCAACCCCATGCTCCACTGAAGCGGTCTTTACATTAGTGAGGGTGGAACTTTTTCCCTCTCCATTGTCCTTATGACGGTCTTGGCCGCACCCCCTTTACACATGCCCGCCTTGCAGTGGATATGAGACGTTATACATCGGGCAAGTATTTCGATATAACCTTTGATCTTTTTTGGGGGACATATGCAACAATCTTCCTGGTCCTGGATAAAATGCTCATGATTAATTCCCATTTCATAGTAGGCTACACGCTGCTCCAAAGCCAAACATGAAAAGAAATTGAAACAAAATGTAACAGCCCATTTAAGCCTGGTATATCTCTTACAGCTACTACTGTAGACGAGTGTTTGCAACCTTAGTTTCAGAAAAGAAAGAACTCACACAGCCGCAATCATTTCGTTTTTAATCCACCCCATTAGGACTAACCGGTGGCATCTGGGCAGAAAGCAACCGACAGCACCCAATTTTGTCTTATTGTCTCCCAGCTGAGTTCAGTATCGTTATTGCTACCTGCAGCTGCTGATGATGATGGTGGTAGTAGTTAAATGAACAATGGGCCCTGTAATTGCTAAATACAAGCAGGTTTGTGAAACCTCTAATGTTTTAAAATAATTTATTGGGTGCCCATTATTTGGTTTGCCATTGTACGCACAAAGCATTAGTTAAACCTGATAGGCTTAGGGACCCTTTTCAATAGGAAAGCCTACGCGCAATCTTCAGCATTATAACAATGATCATCATGCATCTGTTAAAAGTTGTTATGCGATGTATGGCCCACTGCAGCAATTCTTTACCCTCCCTGTTTTACTGAAATTGTAGGATTTTGCTCTACATTCATTTTTCAGCAGGTCTCTTTCATTTTTTCGTTTTCATAATACAAATGCATGCAAAATCTAATATAGTGGTGAAATTGTGCTCATTTGCTATAATTGCCAGCATAATATTTAATAATTACTTGTGTTGATGTTGAGTTATGCTGTTGAATTTGCCGATATTGTTGATTTACTGTAGGCCTATATGTTGCCCTAAATTGTGATAGCCTGGTGCAAACTTTTTATACCTGTATAAACGTTTTATATATATATATATATATATATATATATATATATATATATATATTGTTATAAGAGAGCGAGCTGACAGCTCTGACATTGCGCGCGTGACATCAGCTCTGACACATACACACAGTGGACATTTTTTTTCATCACTGCTGAAAATATTTTATGAAAGTATTTTGTAAATGTAACCCTTCTTTAAAATATATTTGTTTATCAGCAATACCATTCTTTCAGATAGTCCTAATTTAAAGGTTCCAATTACATGAATACAAAAATGCTTATTATTATTATTATTATTATTATTATCATAGCTACAGAATTTTTAAATGATAATTTGATAAATTCGACTTAAACCCCATTTTTTCCAACGTACCAAAAATCGATTTCTCGTTATGGAAAAATTATAAAATCATTATTATTAGATTCACGGTTCCTAGAATATGTAATTATCACATTTCGCAAGAGCAGACAGAACCATTTACACCTTTCTCTGGGCTACCACTGAAACCCACTGAATCTGATCAAATGAACGGTATGTGTATTATAATATGCACATTTTGATATGTCGTTTTTTGAGTGTGTGATTGACAATATCAGCCACTTCATCTTTGTGTTTCTCCCTATGCGGGAATTTCACAGCAAACCCACAACCGTTAAAAATATCAACTTTCAGACGCTTGGGGGAAATGTTTTTTTTGTAACATAATTACAAAGACAAGTAAACCACTCCGACTTAAATTCTTTGCCAGGGAATTTCACCATTTAAAAAACCTAATTGACCCACTTCACAACGTTATTTCAAATTTTTTTGGCCTAAGCTGTTAATGGGAAAGGATAAGGCAGTATGGACACAAACGTCCAACAATTCATGTCCATCACAGGTATGATGACAAACAAGCCCCGCATAATAATGGCTCACATTTGAGCACTTTCCGTAGGTCTTGAAGCCACTTATCATTATATTGGATAACTCACCTCATTGAATCATTGACATACAGCAGAAACTGGTAATCTGGAGTTTGTAAGAGGGTCTTGTCGGAACTAGGAAGCTATTGTCTTGGATACAAGATAAATGTATGATATCTTATTTTTTGGTGTTGGTCCATTTGAGGTAATGCTTGTGTGATACAATTGTGTGAGAGAGGAATCAAAGTATGCCTGACATAATTGCCAAAACAGTCATCTGGATTTTGTCATCTTTCTAAATTTGTGCTCTCTGTTACTCAGACCATTGTGTACAAGTCTCAGATAAAGGTGCATTGAGTCTAATCTTTGGTTAGGTCATGATATCATTTCAGGTGACATCATATAAAAAATATATTGGGGGAATACTGTTGGTTCACTTGACATCAGTGTGTGTTTGTTTGCCTCTGACTCCAAACTCAAATGCTTTGTTTTTCCCACCTGCACGGTGATTTACTGCAGTGATCACCAAAGTGCACTGTGCTACAGTACTTACTGACTCTAAGTCGCTCTGGATAAGTTTGTCTGCAAAACCACATGTAGGCCTAAATGTGAAATGTTCTGCAGCACAGCTGAAGATTGACACATTTTTGTTCCTTGGCTTCTCTCTGCCTCCCTTTTTTCACTGTACTGTGTGTGACACCAAGCTCATACCTTGTTGAGCTCTGGATGGGTACATCCATAGAAATAGATTTGATAGAATGGACAAAGCTCCTCAGTCCAGAGATTTATGGGTGGCACACCAAATATGAAACGTTGACATAAATTGGCGTGTCCGCTCCATTTGATTGGCCCTAGAGAGGAGAAGGTTCCTCTGGATTCTGATGCTGCTCTACGTTGTAGAACCTTGTCGGGAAATGGGCCCAATCCAAGAGTGACTTGGTTCCTCCATTCTCTCGTATTCACAGCGTTCTTTCGATTTCCCATCATAGTGAAACCCCCACCCCCATCCTGTTACACACATGTGGACAAAGTAGAAGGAAGAGGAGGGACTAGCATTTACCCACAGTAGAAATGGCAACTAGTACAAAAACTGGTGAAGGATAGACATTACAAAGCGAACTGATAAGTGATCAAAGTCTAAAAAAGGAAATGGATCCTTTATTCGAGACTTCTGTTGCTATTCTCCCTCAAAACAGTCTGAAAACATTTCACATCCCCTTTTCCTCTTGCATTGCAATTGTTCTTCCAGCAACGTCTCGGTAGGGCTTTCTCTATTGTGATAGTGGAGATATGCTGGGTCTAAAGATATGCCTGTGTGTGTAAGATAATACCCCTCAAAGCATTGCATCTTGTCATCGGCCATAGAAGAATAACAAACCTAAAGGAAATTGTCTTGTTTTGTTTTTTTGGTGTTGATGGACAGGCACAGAACATTTATCTATGGCTATTGTTTTTTATTCAATCCTCTGTAGCTCAATTGGTAGAGCATGGCGCTTGTAACGCCAGGGTAGTGGGTTCGATCCCCAGGACCACCCATACGTAAAAATGTATGCACACATGACTGTAAGTTGCTTTGGATAAAAGCGTCTGCTAAATGGCATACTATTATTATTAAGTTAGGGGTCTGTAATACAATTTCAAGCCATGTTGATGAGTTATGACCTTGTGAATTATGTTTTCAGTCTAGACACTTTCAGAGAGGTTAATCCAAATGATAGAGATTCGACAAGAGGCTATTTGCCATTGGCATATAGCCACAATTTTGACTGTATGTGTCTTTTTCACCAAAATACGAAATATAGAAGGTGGAGGTGGGCAGGAGTCATATTACCCAGCAGGCCTGGGGGGCTAGAGCCCTCAGAGCGCCTGTCATCCAAATAAGCTTTGACAGGCTAACCTGGGGGACAGAGGAGGGCTGCAGAGGTCATGTTTTCTGGAAGGAAGATAAATCTCCACTGGTGTCAAGGCATATGCTTCAGGTCTCATTCAGTGACATCAGATCTCAATGCTGAGCCCAGCTCTTTCCATCTGAAGATGTAGGTGTTTTTAGATGTACGTGATTTAAATACATGTAGATAACTTATAAAACAGGCTGGTGTGTTGATCGTTGGGATGGCAAATGTTTACATTGATAATAGAAAGAGGGACTGAGATGAAAACATGGTGCTTCATATGGCATTACATTACATTAGATGTTGATGGCTTGGCTGGTCAGGCTGGCAGGAACAACGCACTTCTTCTGGTGTGTTGTGTGTCAGGGCTTCAGTTCATGGATGTTGATGTGGTGGTAGGAAATGGAGCTGATGACAGCTTCTCGGCTAGCAACAGGACTCTGTGCAGCCACTATCACTCTGACCTCAGGAAACAGAGTATACAACATCACTCCCACGTGGAAGTCCGACCCAAAACACACTGGCCTTAATGCCCGCTCCTCTGGGTCTGCCTATTCTGGCCCAGACCTTCCGTCTCTGAGCTGGTGTTTGTTTTGTTGCTTAAGAGGAGTGTCCTGCAAAACTCTTACTGACCTCCTGAACCCTGTGGTCATTCTTGGCTGTTAGATGGCTCAGTTGTTTGGAGCATAGTGCTGCTAACAGCAAGGTTGTAGGTTTAATGCCGTTACGGCTCCGTGAAACATTGCACTTTGTGCTGTAGAACCCACCCCCTACTTCTTTGACATCAACTCAAGACTCTTTCCATTCGACTGCCCCTCCATAGTCACTAACCCTAACACATCGAGAGTCACTTTCAGAGGGAAGTTTGGGGATCAAGAACGAACAAGGGGATCAATAAACCTATGAACTTTAGAGCACACTCTCTTGGCTTCTTAACCATTCAATTCATATTCAATGTGGATTGTAAATTGAACTCTGTCAGCCCAGCCAGTTGCTGCCCAGCCCCCTCCCTGTCTGCACCCGTCGGCCATCTTGGGGCCACACCGGATCCCTCCAGACAGGAATATGTTGTCTAGACGTTCAGCTTTGAACTCTGTCCTTTCTCCCTGCATCCCAGGTGAGCCGACATCGCTTCAGCTTCGGTCACACCGCTCCGGTTCCAATCTATACCTCCTTACGCCCCTTTACATGCCCCTCGACAACCACCCTTGGACACCCACATCCGCTGA